GTAAACCAACAACTTTATTTATAAATCAGGCCATGTATCCTAAATTAGTGGCATCTAAAGACTATCTGCAGTTCCTAGTGCAAGGGGAAGTGACAGAAATTCATATACTTTCAATATGTAGGCATTTACAGCTCTCAGACACCTCCCAGGCAGTCAGTGTATCAAACCTTTGTTCATCTTTTCCAAACACTACACCTGGTCTAATCCCATGGTAGGCTAAGGACTGTCCTGGCACCTCCTTTTCAATTATTTCCTGCCTCTTCAAATATAGTATTTGTCAGCAGTTATTTAATAGTTACCAGAATGATCCCAAATTTATTCCTCTTTAACAACAAAGTATCATAAAAGCATAACATATTGAGTTGGAAGGGACCTACAAGGATCATCAAAATCTAACTCCTGGCCCTGCACAGGACATCCCCAAGAATCACACCATGTACCTGAGAACATTGTCCAAGCACTTCTTGAATTCTGTCAGGCTGGTGCTGTGACCACTTCCCGAGTGCTCTGCAGTGGAGCAATAGAAACCGAGCAGCCTTCACCTCAGCGAAGCTCTCAGTCCCCTTGTGCTGAAGAAACTTTTCCTAACAGCCAGCCCAAACCTGCCCTGACACAGCTTCATCCAGTGCTTCATATCAGAGATAAGATCTTCTAACACGGATCTTTAACTTTGACAAATGTACAGAGAACAAATGACTTTTATAGAATTATCCCCTTTGTACTAAATGAAGTTTCAGCCCTGCAAGATATATTTAGGCATGAAGTGATTTGCCCTATATAAAGCAGCCTGCAGCACATGTTCTCTTTGGTAGTGACAAGCAAATGTCACCCAGAGCAAGAACTCTCTAAAACCTTACACTAACAATGGATTCCACCTCCTCCTCAGTGTCCTGGGGAGGCTGAATCCAGAAACACAATTTATCTCCCTGACACGACAGGGCTCTGGGCCAGGATTCCATACAACTTATCACCAGGGTATTAGGGAATCCCTAGGGAACTGTGCCATATCATCCTCCAAACAGAAGATGCCCAGATAGACAGACAGACAAGCAAATTCCTCATACTATTCTCTGAAGCAAAATCAAGAGCATTATTATCCCATAAATTACAAATGCCTAATAGAAAAAATTCTTGCAATACACTTGGGTCCACAAGCAGAGCTGACTTAGCCATTGAAATGTGCTGTGCATTTTTTAAGGAAAATTAGGTAATTGTAGTAAAATTTTAGGAACTTTTTATGAGACAAAAAATAATTCTGTTGTATAAATTATTTGCTTGAATTTAAAAAACGGGGATGAATTTTTTTTCTGTACCTTAAGCAATGGAAAGTCAGATAGGTAAAATCACTTCTCCAGGCCTTTCTGCTGAAACCATGATCTGATACAAGTGCATTTGTAATTTCAGACTATGACCAAGTGTTATTTATACAGTGTATCTAACATAGTGCTGCAGTACATGCAATTTAGATATTGCAGTCTAAAATATACAAATGGGCTTTCAAAGACAACACTTCTTCCATGTCATTGGAGACTGGGTATGAACAGCTACTGCTGCTTTGCAGATTTTGCCCAACAGCTCTTTTTATATGACTTTATGAATTTAGGTTACTTTTCATTAGTTTTACTATCAAAGTGAGGACAGATTACATAGTTTCTCAGCAAGATGCAAAAAGGCTCCAAAGGAAATATCGATGGCTCCCTTTCTTTTTTTTCCCTGTGAAGGACTGAAGAGTGAAAAATAGATCACGTTCACACAGGCTACATTAATTGTTTGCAGTGTCCGAAAAGAGCGTTTGGAGGAGGTGAGGTGAAGGTTGCACAATTTTTATCTGACTCGTGCATTTGGGATGTGAGAAATATCACATGATATATTGGAAGTACTGAGTGGGGGTCAAAAAGGAAAATCGGGTATTTCTCTACTGCTTTGTAAAGTTCAGTAGCACAGACCGTCTTTGAATATCTGCCAAAAAATAAACAGGAGATAGGTCATGAAGGCTTTATGTTCCAGAATAAATTCCTTACAACAGCAGTTACAAAACAAGAAAAAAAGTTTTCATGCATAACTTCCTATTGCCAACGTTTTAATCTGCAGCTACATTAAGGTTTTCTGCTTTATTCTGGCAGCATTTAAGTAAAAATGCACATTGTAATCTTACTTGAAATCAAATTATTTTAAATCATGAGGACAAAAGCAGTCCCAAACGAGATTTTCTGTCATTGCTCAAAATGCTGAATGTATAAAGGGTATGAAAATGTCTTTACTTCAAGAAGGTTGAAATCTGAATAGCACTGACATATGGTTTAAAAGATTAAAAAAATCCTGTTATCTCCATTATACAGATGGGAAATTGAGGCACAGAAAGAATGAAAACTTGCCCAAGGTCAAATAAGAAATCTCTTCAGATACAACTTTTCTCTCTAACATACCTCAGCATAAGTTTACAATCACCTAAGAAAGAAATGTGGTAGTAATTCACACATCATACTTCATCATGGACATCTTTCTTTTATCATTATTTCTAAAATAAGTTCAAACCAACACTGTCAATCTCCTCTGAACACAGTTTAGTGGTGAGCTGGCAGTGCTGTATTAACAATTGGGCTTGAGGGTCTTAAAGATCTTTTTCAACCTAAAGGATTCTCTGTTTCTATATGCTTATGAAGGACACTGTAACAGTATGCATGCACCAATTTAAAAAAAAAAAAAAGCAGAGTCCATCATGAAGCCGTCTGGACTATTTTTGAAATGATCGGAAGTTAAATTAAATACTCCAGTCTCTGAAGCTGCCACTGCAAAGGAAAATTGTGTGATTGATCTGGTACCACACACAGTTTACAGCATGTGAACTTGATGGGCATGGGTTCCTTTAATTACAGTGGTTTAAAGCAGGGAGAATTCTATTGATGTCTAGAGTTGTAGCAGAGCAACTCAGCAAGGAGACAAGGAGAATCAGGTCCTTGCACTGCAGAAAGATGGTGACACACTTTAGTGCTGACTTGACAAGAGGAAAATTGCAGTATTCATACATGATAAATCACATGAATCGAGCTGAGTGAACAGCTTGCAGTCAGCACTTCCCTGTGAGCAGTGTAAGCACCAGGACCACAGTGTGAAGCATCTGCTCACAGTCTTCCAAGCTTACCAATGATCTCAGCATTTGCACTCTTCTGCCAAACGACTATTTTAGAGGTGGTTAGAAGATTGGAAGAGGTGAATCATGTTGGCAGTATCTAAGGTCAGAGAGCAGGAAGATGCTTCCAAGCATCTTTAAGGAAACATTTTCTTCCAGCCCTAGACAGCAAGTGCCTCTTACTGCTCATATAAATAAACAATGAGCCAGATTTGGTTCAACAGTTTCTCTAGCCTTCATCACAGTCAGATCCATGCTTGCCTCCTGCCTCAGCAGTGCCAATTGCTCTAGGTACACACCCCAGTGGTTACTCTGCCTCTTTCACAGAGGCAGCTCTTACCAGTCCTTATTCAACAAGAAAAATAACTATGTATGTGAGAATTAATTACACAGCCTCCATTAATTATTTACCTGCTGTGATAGGAGTTAGAATTAAAATAAAGAAGGTGAGTTTACTGCTCATTCCCTTATGTTCTTATCCCAGACAGGGAGAAGGATTGCTTTTAAATTATCTCAGTGTTTTGCTCATACTGAAGGGGTTGGGTTTTTTTTGCTAAAAACTCATTCTTTAAAAGGTGAACTTGTCCAAGAAAAAGTCTCTGCAACCTAATTTTCAACAAAGTCCATTTTAATAGTTCCTCAAGATAGTAATGCTTAGATGTTATCCCTATATTTTGGTCCCAAAAGTCCAGTCTGCCCCTAATAAACATGCATTGTGAAGAAACATGTTGCACATTACCCAGCCATCTGAGGTAGTAGGACTAACATACTGTTTTAAAAACACAATGAAGGTGAAAAATTGTTCATAACTCTTATAACACATATTTTGTGTTGTGGTGAAACAAGTACTGACTGTCTAGTCTGGCTCTTTATAATATTAATATGCACGGGATAATATGAGAAATATCTGCTTTGCATGAGTCTTGCCTTATCACTCATCATTTGTTTTAGAGAGCTAGCATGCAAATATTTTAAAAATTTAAAAAAGGTAACTAACACTGGACACATTTAGAATTTAATTTGTTCTAAATTCTCTCCATAACCACACATGCAAAATACAAAATGCCACCTCTTTCTAGCAGTAGTTAAAGGCACACAGAACATCCCTGACAGAATCTAGCATTTTACAGAATAAGGCACTGGATAGCAAAAAAAAAAAAAAGTATTTTGAACGTCAGTGAAGCACAGTCATCTCTAAACTAGATCATGTTTGCTGTTTCACAGAGCACACCAAGTCTGTTTAACAGTTTGCAGTCGAAAAGACACATACACAGTGCATATCCTCCAAAGGCATTTTAAGTCAGCAGAATACAATGGTGAAGACTAGAACATGAGCAGACAATCACCTCACCATATTCCCCTGACATGGAAAGCTAAAATTTATCTTCAGTTATCATACACAGTCAGATTTCAGTGTTGTGCATCTTGCTGAAGAAAATCTAAGTTTCCAGAATGTTTCATGTCTCAGGTACACTCTGCTGTTGCTTCCCAGGCCCTCTATCCACCAGGCCCACAGATGATAAAAATGTCTGCTGCTCTGCAGAACCCCTATAAAAACACTAGAGATAATTCCAAGGCTTGCAGAGAAGCAAGTCCACTAGCCAAAAGCCTTTGAAACTTCTCAAATCACTGGGTATTGCACAACACACATTCACTGCCTTCACGACAATCAAGTCTGGATTGCCTAAAAAGGTTCAAAATGTGTGTAGAAAAGGAGACAAATGTAGTAACAGTGCACTGGTATGTTGCTGCCTATATCCTAAATTTCTGTGATTGGAGAAAAAATTTCTGGTTTCATTATTGGTATCAGGATGGTCAGAAAACTTTCCTTCCAACTAAAGGAAACAAATTCCCTTGGAAGAACACATACCAAGTACATTAGCTGTACACTGGAGAATTCCTGAGACATCTTCAGTTTCTTCATTGCCAGAGCAGTCTGTATAGGAGCATCTGTTTGATATATTGTGAAAATTCTTCTCTGCATCTCTGTACCTACAGAAAAAAAAAGTTATAACAACTCTTTATACAAATGCAAAGCCAACAAACATCTTTCAGGTGTGGTGGCAAAGGATTAAGACCTCCCAATAATGGGCAGTTTCAAGATTCAGCTGGACAGAGTGCTAAGCCATCTTATCTAGACCATGCTTCTGTCAAAAAAAGGTTGGACTAGATGAGATTTGAGATCTCTTTCCATCCTGATATTCTATGACTGAAAAAGATTCGCTATTCTCTTTTTATAAGAAACACTACAGTTCATTAAGCAGTCATCATCTGATGGGATTTTGCAGAAGCAGGACAGAACAGCAGTTTACCATTTACATCCAGATTATGTATTGCTATTCCATAGCATCTCTAAGAACTTGAGAGAAAAAATTAAAATTTAAATTTAAAAGCATATCATGTAAGGCTGTGAATTGGAAAGCACAGAGCAAAATATTACCATGCACCTTTCACTACCTCACATTAACACTTACCCAATAACTTGATGCTCAAAATACTGCAGTGTCTTTTGAAGAGTCTGCCGAATGGTCTGAGGCTATGGAAGAATAATTTTAAAAACTGTGAGATTAGGGAATTGTAGCACAGTTCAATTAACAGATCTTTTAACACACTGTTTTACTCCTCTTTATCTTCTACCTGCCATATGCCCATTGCAACAACAGATATGAAATATTATTATTCATTCCTTGTGTCTTACTTCACCATTTAAATAGGAAGGATTTTATAATGTGGCATAATTAATACTGCTTATAAGGCTAGTTGCACATAACAAAGGAGCCACTTCACTCTCAAAAACTGCTCTCTAAAACTATCACCCACCAACTATTTCACTAATTTAAAATAATTTGAAATAGTCTGCAAGAAAATGCCATTATTTTGTGATGAAAGTATCACCAGGAAAAGGCATTGAGTTTCTAAACTCTATATGCTCTCTAGAGCATTTTTAAATAAAGAATATTATAAAAATGCAATTTATTTTGGCATATTTTCCTGACAAGCTATAACTCTTCAGTCATCTTTCAGATTACCAGGAAAGTCAAGTTCATCAAAAGAAAATCATGACATGCTTAAAGCATTTCTATGCTATTTCACTTTAACAGGTGTTCACCAAACTACATATGTGCAAATTTGTCTTTATTTGCATTATTACCACTACTGCAATGTTCAGGAAAATACTTATGTATATAAATGTTTATGTTCTTACTATTACTGCTGCTAAGGCTATTATTATTTTAAATGAATTCATCTTTGAGCAAATAAAGGACGTGTGATATCCATGTAATTTTCTCTTTAGAATTTTCCAAGTCACTTGTGGCAAAATGCTATTTTTCCAAAATTACTAGCTTGTATCAATTAGGAGGTTCTTCACCTGTCTATTTTGACCTGGTGCCAGAAGTCAGACAGAGATACACAAATGAGATTTATAAGCTTTTCTTCTGTATCAAAAGCACACATGGACATTTTGATCAGACTCACAACACACACTGAAATTTTAGTGATGTTTGGTCTTTTCCTGCCTTTTGAAATAGGCATCTAATTGTTTTAGAAACTAATAGTTAAAATACCCCTTAATTAGAGGAATTTCATTCTAAAACCACAATCACTTTTGAAAATCTCAAATTTTGCTTCGATCTACAGCTTCAGCAGTTCAAGAGCTGAGCTTTCTACCTTGCTCAAACTCTTGCTCATGAGTTTGCAGAAGAATCTGTCCTGATGACAGCAGGAAGAAAAAACTGTATATAGCAGGCTACACTAGGTTTGTATAACTGCAAAAAAAGAATATTTTCTAATACCAAGCTATAAGAAAGTGTCTACACTTTTGAATTTAAAAAATTAATTAATTAAATTAGATGGTAAAAAAAATTGAAATGCATGCACTCAACAAGATCATAAGAGGGCTTATAGGAAAGATGGGGAAAAACTTTTCAGCAAGGCCTGTTGCAGTAGGACAAAGGCAATGGTTTAAAACTAGAAGAGGATAGAATTAGACTAGATATAAGAAAGAATATGATTATAGCAATGGTGGTAAAACACTGGAACAGGTTGTCCAGAGAAGTGGTAGGTGACCCATTCCTGGAAACATTCAAGGTCAAGTTGCATGGGGCTCTGGGCAACCTACAGCCCAGAAGATGCCCCTGCTCATTCCAGGGAGGCTGGACTACCTTTAAAGATCCCTTCCAACCCAAACTATTCTATGATCCTATGAACAAAAAAATAAGCTCAACATAGATGCAAACATTCAAAGAGGTTTTTCTTGTTAACTCTATATCAGATAATCACTTCACTTCTCTGCAGGAGCTAAGTGACCTGTGCCAAAAGGCTTTAAAAGTTGCATGTTTTCTTGTAAAAGAACAATGGAAGCACCATGTGAGTGAAACTATCACATATAAAAAAAATCCCCTTCTCAGTAGTACAGCAGGTGTTGAAGTCCTTAGGCCTAATGGGCTACAAATATATTTCATAGCATGTTCTCATAGAGATTCAGAAGCTTTCCTGTGCTCAGCAGGCAGAAAAATCCACTCTTTACATATAGAAGAGATGTATTTTCTCACACCAGCAACAAAGAAGAGCTGCCATTTGCCATCTCCATACAGCATTTCCCTCAGCCCCACTCCCTACACACAGAAAACCAGTACTCCACCAGCAACTTCTCTGACATTAAATAGAGAAAAATATAAATGTTTGATTGCTAAATTAATTCTCCATTCTGGTTGTCCCAAAGTGCTTTTACAGCAAGCACACGGAATGCAGCAATGCTTGGTAACACAGCAGAGAGGAAGAAAAACAGCTTTTTGTCTTCTCAAGAAGTTTTTCAGCTTAGAACACCTGAGCAATCATCCACAGATTGTCTTTGTTCTTCTCATGCCTGGCATACACACTGCACTCCTTAACCAGGAAAAAATAATTTTGACTAGCTCAGCATTTGACAATACGAGCAATCTCCCAGTCCTGAACTTATTTCATTGGTAAACATCCCTTCTCCTGCAGTGCTGAATGGAAAAAAAAAAATCCCATGTTAACTTTCTGTCCTGAAAGCTAAATCAGTTGCCTAGCTCTTATCAGACAATTCTAAACAACCCCATGAACTCACGCTCCTTTTCACTGGCAACTCCTATCCAATCTTAGAAATTAAGTACAGACAAAAATAGGATTTACTATTAAAACACAGGTCGTAAACAGAGCTCGATATAATGTGCTCAGATCCAGAATGAAAACTGATCCACAGTCTTTCTTCACCTCTAACAAGAATTATTATGGCATGCTGCTGTGCATGGTTAAAGAGTCACTATACTCACTTTCTCAGTTTGCTGTATTTCATCACTGGTGAATGTCATTTTGCTACAAATGTAATTCTGTAACCAGGGCCATGTCTAAACAAAACAGTGAGAAGAGATATGACACCTGTTTACAGCTGCCTACAAGGGCAGTTTGATGCATTACTTCTTCCACTACTGATAATGCATTGCCCATGAGACAGAGAATGAGCAGGAAAACATTTCCACCTCTTTTCTGTATCCAGTAACAAGACTGGATGGAGGCAAAATAGCTTAGCCTTCTCCTAGCATGGCACACATGACTCTCCCAGAAGCAGAGTTCTACCACTTCAGGAGGTAAAAGACAGCCTTTAACCATACACCTCCTCCTCTGTAATGCCATTTAGATGCTCAGTGCCACTGAAGAGATTTTAAAGCTTCATGTCTACTTAAAATTCAAGGATTTAATGTAAAAGCCAGTGACTATTACCTAAACAATTAGATGTCAACAATTGCTTTTGATTATGATGATTGACTAATATTTGTATGCATCACAGAAGGAATAGTCACATCATTTCATGTGCCTAAGGACAAATCAAAGTAAAACAAATTATTGTTATTCCTAACTGTAAATTAATCCAAGGATTGCCACCAGATCACATCCAAGCTCCATATAGAATGATGATATACAAGGTGTAAGGGAACACTGGAGATACTCAGACTGATCTCTTGCATGGCAGAGAATAGAGGACTTCCCTAAAATAACTCTGAATTCAGACATCAGGCCATGGCTAACCCTAACGGGTCAGAATAATTTGTAAAAAATGACTGAATCAATGAGTCATATAGGTTTGACAGAACCTCGGGGAGGGGTGCCTCTAGACCAACATCCTACTGAAAGTAGTTTGATTTAAAACTGGTTGCTCAGGTCTTTCTTCAGACAAGCTTTGAGTGTCTCCAAGGATGACAATCCCATAAGCTCTCAGGGAAACCTGTGCCAGCATCTGAACACCCTCATGACATCTCACTTCTTTCCATAATTCTGATTTTAAACTCCCATCTTTCAGGTTTTTGCCTCTCATGCGTCTTCCACTCTGTACCCCCATGGAAAGCCTGCCTCCATCTTCCCTACACACCCTTCCCAGTTTAGCTGTAGACTGCATCTTTCTGCTCACCCTTCTCTTCAGAGAATGAACCCCCTTCCCCAAAAAGCATCATTTAAAGCCCCCGTCACAAGGTTGTGCAGCCAAGTGGAGATGACCTCAGCTCACTTGGTCAGATTCTTGCCCAGCACTCCTCGCTCCTCAGAGTACACCCCATGTCCATGGAGATCCCAGCCCTGCCAGCAACACCACCACAGCTACAGATCCTACTAGATGTGCCTGCTCCACCAGAGCCTTCTCCCCACCAGCAGGATTGAGGAGACCCCAGCTGGGCACCCACACCCTTCCCCCTGGCGCTCAGAGCCGTGTAGTCACTCCTGACCAAGGTCTCCCCTGGCTGCATCACTGGTGTCCACATGGATGGGCAGCGGTGGTCACAGTCCAGGAGACAAACAGGCTTTGGCAGCCTCTTTGCAAGGCTGGTGTGTGAGCTCTTGGCAAGCAGCAGAGCTCCTGTGAAGCACAGCAGACTGGCACAGGAGGGCTTCTGTCTCCTCAGAAAACAGCTTCCCACACCTAGCTGCCTCCTCTTCTGGAAGCTTCTAAAGGTTGAGGCTCTGCTGGATCTGCTGCCCCATCCGAAGGGTGGGAGGTCATCTCTCCTACCTCTTCACAGGGAATTTTACCTTCTCTGTACCTGATGAATCACAGGTGGAACAGGGGCTGTCAGAAGTCACCAACCCCCAGCCTTCTCCATCCCCAAAGTTTCCAACCTTGACTCTCGAAGCTTATTTTTCTGTCCTTCCTTTTGACATGGAGCTCAGGTTCTTGGTTCTGCAGGGCCTCTGGAAAGACTTGTCCATCCTCCCTAATGTGTACAGCCTGCTCACTATCTACGACAGCTCTTCCTCCTGGCACCTCACTGCTCTCCGACCACAGCACCCAGCTTTTGGCACCACAAAGGTGCAATCCTGGCAGTGGCAGCACTGCCACGACAGCCACTGCTGCTCTGCCAGCCACCACCACTGCTTCCAAGATGCACTTCTAGAGAAATGTGCCCTTCCTGCTACATCTCATCCTGCAAAACTGGCTCAAGTCCTGAAGACAGAGGAGTAATAGTTCATCCAAACTCCTTTTTATGACTAACTGGAGAAAATCTTTATGAGGACATTTGTCTA